TGTTGACAGAATGACCAGGGTTTGTATGACAGAATGACCAGGGTGTGTGTGACAGAATGACCAGGGTGTGTGTGGCAGAATGACCAGGGTGTGTGTGGCAGAATGACCAGGGTGTGTGGGACAGAATGGCCAGGGTGTGTGTGGCAGAATGACAAGGGTGTGTGTGACAGAATGCCCAGGGTGTGTGTGACAGAATGACCAGGGTGTGTGTGACAGAATGACCAGGGTGTGTGTGGCAGAATGACCAGGGTGTGTGTGACAGAATGACCAGGGTGTGTGTGACAGAATGACCAGGGTGTGTGTGACAGAATGACCAGGGTGTGTGTGACAGAATGACCAGGGTGTGTGTGACAATGACCAGGGTGTGTATGACAGAATGACCAGGGTGTGTGTGGCAGAATGACCAGGGTGTGTGTGACAGAATGACCAGGGTGTGTGTGGCAGAATGACCAGGGTGTGTGTGACAGAATGACCAGGGTGTGTGTGGCAGAATGACCAGGGTGTGTGTGACAGAATGACCAGGGTGTGTGTGACAGAATGACCAGGGTGTGTCTGACAGAATGACCAGGGTGTGTGTGGCAGAATGACCAGGGTGTGTGTGACAGAATGACCAGGTGTGTGACAGAATGACCAGGGTGTGTGTGGCGGAATGACCAGGGTGTGTGTGACAGAATGACCCGGGTGTGTGTGACAGAATGACCAGGGTGTGTGTGACAGAATGACCACGGTTTGTGTGACAGAATGACCAGGGTGTGTGTGGCAGAATGACCAGGGTGTGTGTGACAGAATGACCAGGGTGTGTGTGACAGAATGACCAGGGTGTGTGTGGCAGAATGACCAGGGTGTGTGTGGCAGAATGACCAGGGTGTGTGTGGCAGAATGACCTGGGTGTGTGTGTCAGAATGACCAGGGTGTGTGTGGCAGAATGACCAGGGTGTGTGTGACAGAATGTCCAGGGTGTGTGTGACAGAATGACCAGGGTGTGTGTGGCAGAATGACCAGGGTGTGTGTGGCAGAATGACCAGGGTGTGTGTGGGCAGAATGACCAGGGGTGTGTGTGACAGAATGACCAGGGTGTGTGTGGCAGAATCACCAGGGTGTGTGTGGCAGAATGACCAGGGTGTGAGTGGCAGAATGACCAGGGTGTGTGTGATAGAATGACCAGGGTGTGTGTGACAGAATGACCAGGGTGTGTGTGGTAGAATGACCAGGGTGTGTGTTGCAGAATGATCCGGGTGTGTGTGACAGAATGACCAGGGTGTGTATGACAGAATGACCAGGGTGTGTGTGGCAGAATGACCCGGGTGTGTTTGACAGAATGACCAGGGTGTGTATGACAGAATGACCAGGGTGTGTGTGACAGAATGACCAGGGTGTGTGTGGCAGAATGACCAGGGTGTGTGTGGCAGAATGACCAGGGTGTGTGTGACAGAATGACCAGGGTGTGTGTGGCAGAATGACCAGGGTGTGTGTGACAGAATGCCCAGGGTGTGTGTGACAGAATGACCAGGGTGTGTGTGACAGAATGACCAGGGTGTGTGTGGCAGAATGACCAGGGTGTGTGTGACAGAATGACCAGGGTGTGTGTGACAGAATGACCAGGGTGTGTGTGACAGAATGACCAGGGTGTGTGTGACAATGACCAGGGTGTGTATGACAGAATGACCAGGGTGTGTGTGGCAGAATGACCAGGGTGTGTGTGACAGAATGACCAGGGTGTGTGTGGCAGAATGACCAGGGTGTGTGTGACAGAATGACCAGGGTGTGTGTGGCAGAATGACCAGGGTGTGTGTGGCAGAATGACCAGGGTGTGTGTGGCAGAATGACCAGGGTGTGTGTGGCAGAATGACCCGGGTGTGTGTGGCAGAATGACCAGGGTTTGTGTGGCAGAATGACCAGGGTGTGTGTGGCAGAATGACCAGGGTGTGTGTGACAGAATGACCAGGGTGTGTGTGGCAGAATGACCAGGGTGTGTGTGACAGAATGACCAGGGTGTGTGTGGCAGAATGACCAGGGTGTGTGTGACAGAATGACCAGGGTGTGTGTGACAGAATGACCAGGGTGTGTGTGACAGAATGACCAGGGTGTGTGTGGCAGAATGCCCAGGGTTTGTGTGGCAGAATGACCAGGGTGTGTGTGGCAGAATGACCAGGGTGTGTGTGACAGAATGACCAGGGTGTGTGTGGCAGAATGACCAGGGTGTGTGTGACAGAATGACCAGGGTGTGTGTGGCAGAATGACCAGGGTGTGTGTGACAGAATGACCAGGGTGTGTGTGACAGAATGACCCGGGTGTGTGTGGCAGAATGACCCGGGTGTGTGTGGCAGAATGACCCTGGTGTGTGGCAGAATGACCAGGGTGTGTGTGACAGAATGACCCTGGGTCCAGCACTTCTAGCACACAGCAAATCATGTAGTTGTAGCACATATCTCCCTTTAGATACCATTGCACCAGTGTTCTCACAAGTACCAGTCAGCATTTAGGTCACTCAACACAACTAGGTCACTCAACACAACTAGGTCACTCATCTGCTTGTATCGTCCCTATCGATAAATCAGGTCACGCTTATGATAAATAAGATTCTTACCGTACCATCTATTATATTTTATGTTTATCTGCGTGTGTATGTGTGTGTACTCACCTTTTTGTTGTTGCAGGGGTGAGACATTGATCCTGCCTCCACCACATCACTTGCCAGACTATTTCACTTTCTGACAACTCTATGACTAAAGAAGTACTTCCTAACGTCTCTCTGACTCATCTGGGTCTTCAACTTCCAATTGTGACCCCTTGTTTCTGTGTTTCATCTCTGGAACATCCTGTCTCTGTCTACCTTGTCAATTCCTCGCAGTATTTTGTATGTCGTTATCATGCCTCCCCTAACCCTCCTGTCCTCCAGTGTCGTCAGGCCGATTTCCTTTGATCTTTCTTCATAGGACATTCCCCTGATCTCTGGAACTAGCCTTATTGCAAACCTTTGCACTTTCTCTAATTTCTTGACGTGTTTGACCAGGTGTGGATTCTAAACTAATGCTACATACTCCAGTATGGGCCTGACGTACACGGTGTACAGAGTCTTGAACGATTTCTTACTGAAGTATGGGAACGCTATTTTCAGGTATGCCAGGCGCCCATATGCTGCAGCAGTTATTTGGTGGATGTGCGTCTCAGGAGATGTGCTCGGTGTTATACTCACTCCGAAATCCTTCTCCTTGAGTGAGGTTAGCAATCTTTGGCCACTTATCCTATACTCTGTCTGCGATCTTTTTTGCTCTTCCCCGTGTGTGTGTCTTTCTCTTTTTAATCCAGTGAGTGTGTTAGAAGCTCTGACTGTGCTACACGAAGCCTTCCTTCAGGCATGGAAGCTTCGTTGACATTCGTGATGTAATCACGCATGTCTCAAGAAATCGGAATAATACGATTGCCAACAAACCAGGGAATGGCTGGGGTTTAAACCCATGGTGAGTGATTCGTAAAAGTCCAGGCCAGTGCCTAAGGCACAATGAAGTTCATCCAACTTGCTGCACTAATTAATTGGACGAATCTTTTTGTAGCCAGGTTGTCCAGTGGCTTACGCTCTGACCTGGAGTTTTACGACACACTCACCATGGGTTCAACCCCCACCCGTTCCGTGGTTCGCGTGATGCAACTAGAGTCTATGATTATAGGACGCACTGAATCCGCAAAATGAATCCGCAAAGTGAATCCGCAAAGTGAATCCGCAAAGTGAATCCGAGAAGTGAATCCGAGAAGTGAATCCGAGAAGTGAATCCGAGAAGTGAATCCGCGAAGTGAATCCGCATGCACTGAGTTTTGCTGTACTGACGTCGCATTCTTTTTGGTGAGAAATAGTGGGAGTGATTAACAGTACTGAGGACTCGTCATAATGAGAATAACGAGTGCGTTTAGAAGTTGAAAATCTAATTTGCTTCCAACAGAATTTATGAAGAGAAAAATCACTGGAAGTTACTGAAGAGCGAGGGAATAGATCACGTGAGGAGGTAGTCATCGCTGCAACTGACAACTGCAAAATACTTTACGGTCTGCTAAATGCGAGGGCCTGTAGCTACGAATATATTATGTAAACACCAGTACGTCACAGCACTCACATGTCACATGAACTCTCGCTTGCAAACACAGCAATTACCAGCGCAGAGAGCTCTCTTGTGCACATAGCGCTCACACACACCAAATACACACACAAGCGGAAGAGACTCCCACCCACACCACACACACACACACACACACCCCACACACCACACAACACACAATACTGCGTGGAATAGATAAGGTAGACAGAGACAGGTGTTCCAGAGAGGGGGGACACGAAATATAGGGTCACTAAATGGAGGCTGTAGCTACGATAATATGTAAAGTATGTACAGCACGATGTACATGAATCGCTTGAAAACAGCAATACAGCGATGGAGAGCTTTGGACCATAGCGCTAAACATCAAATAACACACAAGCGGAAGAGACTCACACACACACACACACCACACAAACACAAACAAAACACACACACAACACAACACAAAATAGGTGGATAGATAGGTAGACAGGAGAAGGTTGTTCCAGAGAGGGGAACAGAAAGAAGGAGTACAATTGAAAGCTGATACTCAGCGCGTAGAGGGGATGTTAGGAAGTATTTCTCCGTCACAGAGTCGTCAAGGAATGGAATCAGCCTAACAAGTGATGTTGTGGAGCCAGGAACCATCAACACCATAGCATTAAGACGAGGTATGACAAAGACCTGGAAAGCAGAAGAGAGAGAACGAGAGAAGAAGAGAGAGAGGACCTAGTAGCACATCAAGTGAAGAGGCTCGGGGCCAAGGAGCTGAGAGCGACCCCCCTGTATACCACAATTAGGTGAGTACACACACACACACACACACACCACACACACACACACACACACACACACACAACTTGGTCATTAGTATAGTTAGAAGTTTAATTGCTCTATATTGCTAGAGACAGTACCTAAACGTGGGCGTACCTTGGTGTGGGCGGATGTACCATACGGTACCGCCCGTGTAGGAGACCCTCCAGGAGCAGAATCCGGTGTTGAAGTTACACGAAGGTCCGCCGGTACACGTACCAGTGTTGAGACTCACCTCCCGGACCTCCACGCCACCACTGGCGCCGCCCGCGCCCACGCCCACCGCCCGCAGGATCAACTACGCCATGTGAGGTGCGGGAAAAAGTCACGTAGAGTGTAATCAAGAGAAAAAATTAAATAAAAATACTCAAAAAAAAGGGATTAGAATGATTTAAATTGTAAAAATGTTTTTAAAAAAAAAGGAAGAATGAAAAAAAAAAAAAAAAAGATATATGGGATAAAATAACAGAGGAAAAAGTGATAAGAGTAACAAATAAGGAATTAAAAAGACACAAGAAAAAAAAGGGAGCTCAGAAATAATGAAAATAATTGCCGAAGCGGCTTTAGCAGAATGATGAAAATGATGAAGAATATGATGATGGTGATGATAATGATGATGAAAATGATAATAAAGGGGAAATAGTGAGTACTGACTCACCTGGTATTGTGAAGGCAGTGTATCAGGAAGGAGGTTAACCATGGCGTCCATCACTCCAGGACTCCCCACACGTCCTTGCGTCCACAACACCTGTTCCTCCTCCTCTTCCTCCTCCTCTTCCTTAAGGTGTCCCTGAACGCCCCTCCGTCGGTATCCCTCCACTCCTGCAGCAGCCACGGGCCTCAGCACCACTCTCAGCTCAGCGTTGGCTGAGAGGAGGTTGTAGCGGAGGCTGAGACAAGCACCTCCTCCTGTGTTGTCACCAGTGGCAGACCTGTCAGCACCTCCGTCAGCGCCTCCTCCAGGCTGATACTCCGTAGAGGTGAATTCAGGTCTGGAGATGAGGTCAGTTTGGGTGACCAGCGGGGAAATGAGGTCAGCCCACTGTTGCTCCTGGACGATGGTGCTTGCGGTGGTGCTCGCGGTGGTGCTCGCGGTGGTGCTCGCAACGGTGTTTAAGACATGTTTGTTCTTGTTGCGGCTGAGCTTGCCGCTGGCGGTGCCGCTACGCACCTCCGCCAGGATACCTGCCGTAGGAGGAATTTAAATTTCGCGTATATGAGAGTAGGGCAGGGAAGATTGGGGGTTGGGGAGAGCCCACCATCACCACCACTACCACTATCACCACCACTACCACCATCACCACCACTACCACCATCACCACCACCACTACTACCATCATCACCACCACTCCTACTACCATCATCACCATCACCATACCATCATCACCATCACCACCACCACCACCACTACCATCATCGCCATCACCACTAACCATCATCACCACCACCACCCACTACCATCATCACCATCACCACTACCATCATCACACCACCACCACCACACCACCACTACCACTCATCACCATCACCATACCATCATCACCATCACCACCACCACCACCACTACCATCATCACCACCACCACCACCACTACCATCATCGCCATCACCAACTACCATCACCACCACCACCACACCATCATCACCATCACCACTACCATCATCACTATCACACACCATCAATCACCACCACCATACCATCATCACCACCACTACTACCATCATCACCACCCACCACCACTACCATCATCGCCATCACCACTACCATCATCCCATCACCACCACAACATCAACACCATCACCACTACCACCATCACCACCACCACCACACCACTACCATCATCACCACCACCATCAGCACCACCACTACCATCATCACCACACCATTATCACACCACCATTCATTATCGCCACCACCACCATCACCACCATCATCACCACCATCATCACCACCACCATTCCACCACCATCACCACCATCATCACCACACCATCATCACCACAACCATCACCACCATCATCACCACCAATCATACCACAACCATCACCACCATCATCACCACCAACATCACCACCATCACCCCCATCATCACCACCATCATCACCACCACCATCACCACCATCATCACCCACACCACCATCACCACCATCATCACCACCATCATCCTACCATCATCACCACCACCATCACCACCATCACCACCACCATCATCACCACCCTCATCACCACCACCATCACCACCATCATCACCACCACCATCACCACCACCATCACCACCACCATCACCACCACCATCACCACCCCCATCAAACCCCCATCACCACCAACCCTCACCACCATCACTACACCATCACCACCACCATCACCACCATCATCACCACCATCACCACCACCATCACCACCATCATCACCACAAAACCCTCACCACCATCATCACCACCATCGTCACCACCACCATCACCACCATCATCACCACCACCCTCATCACCACCATCACCACCACCATCACCACCACCATCATCACCACCATCGTCACCCCCACCATCACCACATCACCACCACCATCACCACCCCCATCACCACCACCATCACCACCACCATCATCATCACCACCATCACCACCACCATCACCACCACCATCACCACCACCATCACCACCACCATTACACCACCATCGTCACCACCACCATCACCACCATCATCACCACCACCATCATCACCACCATCACCACCACCATCACCACCACCATCACCACCATCATCACCACCACCATCACCACCATCATCACCACCACCATCACCACCACCATCACCACCACCATCACCACAACCCATCCCCACCACCATCACCACCACCATCACCACCACCATCACCACCACCACCCACCACCACCATCACCACAACCATCACCACCACCATCACCACCACCATCACCACCACCACCCCACCACCATCACCCCCACCATCACCACCATCACCACCATCATCACCACCACCATCACCACCACCATCACCACCATCACCACCATCACCACCCCCATCACCACCATCATCACCACCACCATCACCACCACCATCACCACCATAATCACCAAAAACCATCACCACCATCATCACCCCCATCGTCACCACCACCATCACCATCATCACCACCACCATCACCACCATCACCACCACCTCACCACCACCATCACCACCATCATCACCACCACCATCACCCCCACCATCACCACCATCACCACCATCACCCCCATCACAGAAAAAACTCGCTGGGGAAATAATTGCAAATCAATTTTTTAAGTTGACTGTTGCAACTTAAACCTTAAACCCACCTTGACAACCTGCAATAAAACTAAACCTCATCACCACATCCTTTACATCCTCGCTTCACGCCATCCTCTTCTTCCTCCATTATCATCACCATCTCCTACTCATCTTCCTCTCCCTCATCATTCTCCAACATCATCGCTATTTTCCCCATATTAAACCGTCCTATTCCTTCTTTTACTGTTTCTCCCCCTCCTTCTGCAGTAGCACACACACACACACACACAACACACACACATACAACACACACACACACACACCACACACCACACACACACACACACACACACACACACACACACACACAGGAGGAAAGGTTGAGGGAAATCGGACTGAAGACACTGGAGGACAGAAGGGTCAGGGGAGACATGATAACGACATACAGGATACTGCGGGGAATAGACAAGGTGGACAGAGATAGGATGTTCCAGAGAGGGGACACAGTAACAAGGGGACACAGTTGGAAGTTGAAGACACAGATGAATCACAGGGATGTTAGGAAGTATTTCTTCAGCCACAGAGTAGTCAGGAAGTGGAATAGTTTGGGAAGCGAAGTAGTGGAGGCAGGATCCATACATAGCTTTAAGCAGAGGTATGATAAAGCTTACGGTACAGGGGGAGTGACCTAGTGGCGACCAGTGAAGAGGCGGGGCCAGGGGCTTGGACTCGACCCCTGCAACCTCAACTAGGTGAGTACATACACACACACTCACCTTTCTCCGTCAGTAGCCAGTTCCTGTGGTCGCTGTGTGTGTTGCTCCAGCCACAGAAGTCATGGCTGAAGGTGCAGGAGGTAGCTGTCAGGTTGTCTAGTTCACGCCCACACGCCCCCTGCACCACTTGCACGCCCATCACCCCAGCAGTGTAGTGGGGACCGTACCCCCTCTCGTACTGAACCACAACCTGTCACCCCAGTCATATCAGTCACCACATTCATATCAGTCACCACAGTCACAGTAGTCACCACAGTCACATCAGTCACCACAGTCATATCAGTCACCACAGTCACAGTAGTCACCACAGTCACAGTAGTCACCAAAGTCACATCAGTCACCACAGTCACAGTAGTCACCACAGTCACATCAGTCACCAGTCACATCAGTCACCACAGTCACAGTAGTCACCACAGTCACATCAGTCACCACAGTCACATCAGTCACCACAGTCACAGTAGTCACCACAGTCACATCAGTCACCACAGTCACATCAGTCACCACAGTCACATCAGTCACCACAGTCACAGTAGGTCACCACAGTTACAAGAGTCACCACAGACACATCAGTCACCACAGTCATAATAATCACCAAAGTCACAGTAGTCACCACAGTCACATCAGTCACCACAGTCCACAGCAGTCATCACAGTCACAGTAGTCACCACAGTCACAGTAGTCATCACAGTCACAGTAGTCACCACAGTCACCACAGTCACAGTAGTCACCACAGTCACAGTAGTCACCACAGTCACATCCGTCACCACAGTCACATCCGTCACCACAGTCACATCCGTCACCACAGTCACATCAGTCACCACAATCCACAGTAGTCATCACAGTCCACAGTAGTCACCACAGTCACATCAGTCACCACAGTCCACAGTAGCCATCACAGTCACAGTAGTCACCACAATCACATCAGTCACCACAGTCCACAGTAGTCACCACAGTCACATCAGTCACCACAGTCCACAGTAGTCATCACAGTCACAGTAGTCACCACAGTCACATCAGTCATCACAGTCACAGTAGTCACCACAGTCACAGTAGTCACCACAGTCACAGTAGTCACCACAGTCCACAGTAGTCATCACAGTCACAGTAATCACCACAGTCACATCAGTCACAGTAGTCACCACAGTCACATCAGTCACCACAGTCACATCAGTCACAACAGTCACAATAATCACCACAGTCACAGTAGTCACAGTAGCCACCACAGTCACATCAGTCACAATAATCACCACAGTCACAGTAGTCACCATAGTCACAGTAGTCACAGTAGCCACCACAGTGACAGTAGTCACCACAGTCACAGTAGTCACCACAGTCACAGTAATCACCACAGTCACAGTAGTCACCACAGTCACAGTAGCCACCACAGTGACAGTAGTCATCACAGTCACAGTAGTCACCACAGTCACAGTAGTCATCACAGTCACAGTAGTCACCACAGTCACCACAGTCACAGTAGTCACCACAGTCACCACAGTCACAGTAGTCACCACAGTCACAGTAGTCACCACAGTCACAGTAGTCACCACAGTCACAGTAGTCACCACAGTCACAGCAGTCACCACAGTCACAGTAGTCACCACAGTCACAGTAGTCATCACAGTCACAGTAGTCACCACAGTCACAGTAGTCACAGTAGCCACCACAGTGACAGTAGTCATCACAGTCACAGTAGTCACCACAGTCACATCAGTCACCACAGTTCACAGTAGTCACCACAGTCACAGTAGTCACCACAGTCCACAGTAGTCAATCACAGTCACAGTAATTCACCACAGTCACATCAGTCACAGTAGTCACCACAGTCACATCAGTCACCACAGTCACATCAGTCACAACAGTCACAATAATCACCACAGTCACAGTAGTCACAGTAGCCACCACAGTCACATCAGTCACAATAATCACCACAGTCACAGTAGTCACCATAGTCACAGTAGTCACAGTAGCCACCACAGTGACAGTAGTCACCACAGTCACAGTAGTCACCACAGTCACAGTAATCACCACAGTCACAGTAGTCACCACAGTCACAGTAGCCACCACAGTGACAGTAGTCATCACAGTCACAGTAGTCACCACAGTCACAGTAGTCATCACAGTCACAGTAGTCACCACAGTCACCACAGTCACAGTAGTCACCACAGTCACAGTAGTCACCACAGTCACAGTAGTCACCACAGTCACAGTAGTCACCACAGTCACAGCAGTCACCACAGTCACAGTAGTCACCACAGTCACAGTAGTCATCACAGTCACAGTAGTCACCACAGTCACAGTAGTCACAGTAGCCACCACAGTGACAGTAGTCATCACAGTCACAGTAGTCACCACAGTCACAGTAGTCATCACAGTCACAGTAGTCATCACAGTCACAGTAGTCACCACAGTCACAGTAGTCACAGTAGCCACCACAGTGACAGTAGTCATCACAGTGACAGTAGTCACCACAGTCACAGTAGTCACCACAGTCACAGTAGTCATCACAGTCACAGTAGTCACCACAGTCACAGTAGTCACCACAGTCACAGTAGTCACAGTAGTCATCCCAGGGAGAAAGAGAACTTTTTAAGTATGTAAGAACTAAAGTTCTGGAACACCCTTAAAATTAATAAAATATATGAAACTCTTAAAATTAACGAGAGACACTAATCCTCCTTAAAACTAGTGAAGTGTAGTGAACTTCCTCCAAGTTAGTGACAGATACTAAACTAAGAGGTATTGTACTCCCTTTAACCCGCAATATATATCAAACATCTCTAATATTAGAGAGAGAGAAAGAGATAAGCCTCTTACAATGAGCGATGAATATCGATATCTCTCGAACAGCGAGGATATCGACCTTCTTAAAATTAGGAAGAAGTCTCAAACTCCCTTATAATTAATAAGTGGCATCGACCTTGTTAAGGCTACCATGAGACACCAAGACTCTTAACAAATATGCAAGCCAACCAAGCTCCTTTAAAATTATATATATATAATATATATATATATATATATATATATATATATATATATTATATATATATATATATATATATAAAATATATATATATATATATATATTATATATATATAATGTATACCTGTGGCTGAAAGCCCTAAAGAGAAAGAGGAGGTACATTACGAACACAGGTACACTAAGAGCGTCATGTACCTGGTGGTAAAGCAAGGATTCAGACAAGGAACAACCCTCCACACCATGAGCACTTTTTGAGTACCCTTATATTCCCGCCACCGATATTTACAATATTATCAAAATGCAATAGAGAAGCAAAATTCTAATAAATAAGAGAGCAAGAGTGAGATCACTCAGCGCAGTTGGCATTCAGCTGATACCAGAGATTAGCAGGATGTGTGTACTCGGTTTGCTAGTGAGAGGACGACGTCAACCAGTGATTTATGCATCAACTCAACTGGTTGATGTAAAAATCTGAGAGTGAATCAGCATGGCTGTGGGCCTACACTCACACCAACCTAACTGCTGCCAGTTTGGGTGCATCACGAACACAGGCAATAATTCAAAGCCTTTTCAAGGTGACTGCAACCAAGTCAGTAGAGAGCACCCGTGACTGATATACCACCACAGTGGTCAAGGTGTGAGCACCACTGAGTGACACACCATCACAGTGGTCAAGGTGTGAGCACCCCTGACTGACACACCACCACAGTGGGCAATGTGTGAGCACCCCTGACTGACACACCAACACAGTGGGCAAGGTGTGAGCACCACTGACTGACATACCAACACAGTGGGCAAGGTGTGAGCACACTGACTGACACACCACCACAGTGGGCAAGGTGTGAGCACCCCTGACTGACACACCAACACAGTGGGCAAGGTGTGAGCACCACTGACTGACATACCAACACAGTGGGCAAGGTGTGAGCACCACTGACTGACACACCACCACAGTGGGCAATGTGTGAGCACCCCTGACTGACACACCACCACAGTGGGCAATGTGTGAGCACCCCTGACTGACACACCACCACAGTGGGCAAGGTGTGAGCACCCCTGACTGACACACCAACAAAGTGGGCAAGGTGTGAGCACCACTGACTGACACACCACCAGATTTAACAAGTGAGAATTCATTAGAGTTTGGAATAACAAGCGGAGGTCGGACGACCACCTTCCAACACGGTGCTTTTACCGTAGTGACTTAATGAGGATCCCTGTGTGTGTGTGCGTGTGTGTATGTGTATGTGTGTGTGTGTGTGTGTGTGTGTGTGTGTACTACCAGAAATAAACATTTCCAGTAGGTATTTAAGACAGATATGTAAACATTGCCTAAATGTTTTTTCTTTGTTTTCTTCCTCCAATTTTTATTTTTTTTTACTCTCTTGCTCTTAACTCGGCTTCTAATTTCCACTGCTCGTGCACGGTAACCAGGGATAAATTCTTGGAACGCTTGACATGTTACCGTACCCTATGTCCAAAATATCTTGTTGTTGTATCTGTATAATATTGATAAAGCCACTGGTGAGCGAAACATCTACATAATTACTATACCCAATTGTTGCACATGTGTCTAAATCTTCAACTTGTCGGTATCGTATACTATTAATGTTATGGCTAAATTTGAACCCGTTCCCAGCATCATGGAGCAGCTCAGATAACCTGCAATATCTTCAGCGGTTTAGCTTCAAACTTTAAGTAACGGCGTCTTATAATTCAACAATGTCGGAGAGTAACATTTAAGTGTGTAGCTTTCATTTTCTTTATATTACGTTGTGTTTCAGAATACCTCTTCTGAGAGGCGTCACTCACCATCACCACACCACAGTCACCATCATCACACCACAATCATCACTACACCACAATCACCAAACCACACTCACCATACCATAATCATCACTACACAATCACCACACCACAATCATCACTACACCACAATCACCGCACCACAATGACTACACCACACATACAATCACCACATCACAATCACCACCACCGCACCACAATCACCATAACAACACTACACTCACCCCACCACAGTCATCACACCACAATCAGCATCATAGCACAATCATCACACCACATCACACTCACCATCACCGCACAACAATCACCATCACTACACTACAATCACGCCACAATCACCATCACCACTAAAATCACTACCACACCACAGTCACCATCACACAATCAGCTTCACCGCACCACATCACCACACCACAGTAACCACAACACAATCAGCATCACCACACTCACCAATCGCCACAATCACCATCACCACACCACAATCATCGCCACACGATAATGACCATCACACCACCACACTCACTATCACCACACCACAATCACCATCACCACACCACAATGACCATCACACCATCACAATCACTATCACCACACCACAATCATCACCACACGTCTCACCACTCCAAGACCTTCCCTCGCCGCACCATCTTCGGGACCAGACAAGGCAAAATCTCTGAGAGTGAAAGACTACAATTGGATGCTATCTTCACCTCTCCCAGGATGAACATGACGTTCATACTACTACCACCAGACAGTCTTTGCGTCTCCCAGGACGTCCTCCCACGGCAACTCGACCCCCTCAAACCTCATCTCAGCCATCAACCCCCCCAACCCCCCCCAAAAAAAAATCAAACAATATCATCCAAGTCGTATCTCAAAACTCCCATAAAACTTGTGTCCGGGACCCAGAATGGAATCTAAATCCAGTATAACACTTTTCTTGTGTGTATGTTTGACGTGTTGTGTTTATCTTCTCGGGTCATCGGTACGTCTGCTTCACTGAATGTGTTTTTTTCTCCTCTCTTCTGGTGCACAGGAAAAAATAATGGGAGTTTTCCAGTTGAGGTGGAACACACTGAGGCTGGTGGCCAGGTGTTGTCAACTGTTTGGCGTTCACAGTTGGTATTTCGAGTTAGTGTTTGGCGTTCACCGTTGGTATTTAGCTCCTGTTTGTCGTTCAACGTTTTTATTTAGCTCCTGTTTGGCGTTCACCGTTTGTATTTAGCTTCCACAGTTTGTATTGTATTAGTTCCCGTTTGGCTTTCACCGTTGGTATTTAGTTAGTTTGGCGTTCACCGTATTTAGTTACTGTTTCTTGCGTCACCTTTACTGTTTCTGAGTCTAGTTGTCTGTTGATGCACTCAGTTTACCGTTGCTGATAACAGTTTACCGCTGCTCCGATCAGCATATTGTTGCTTTTGCTTTTAGTATACTATTGTTGCGACAGAGAAAATGAAAAGGGAGAGAAGCAAGGGGGAGGGAGGAAAGAGGAACGGAAGAAGATGCATGGGAGAGAACGTGATAATGGATAAACGAAGTGTGGGTAGATGGATGGTGACAGAACATTATAATATCGTCACATCTTGCCTGGAGATCTAATGATGAAGTATCTCAATGATTTTTTTCTTCATTCGATTTAATGGCCAATTATAAGTCGTTCTATTTATCCTCCTCCTCCTTCTCCTCATCCTCACCTCTTTTGTCTTAGACATGATTATAGTTTACTGTGTGCAAATTCGGGACCATTAGTTCTAGGATTTTCTAAGTGTAGATTATGATATATCTCTCTCGCCTGCGTTTCAGTGAGTACAAGTCAAGTGCTTCCAAGCGTTCCCAGTAGTTAAGGTGCTTGACAGAACTTATACGTGCAGTAAAGGATCTCTGTACACTCTCTAGATCTGCAATTTCACCTGCCTTGAACGGAGATGCTAATGTACATCAATATTCCAGCCTAGAGAGAACAAGTGATTTGAAAAGGATCGTCAGCGACATATCTTCATTCTGAATAAGAGACACTAGGATACTCTGATTAAAAAAAATATTTTTTTTATCAGTTATCGCTCGTTATTTCCGTGGAAGGATAACGAAAACTCAGAAGATATATAAATATATATATATATATATATATACAAAAGGTCGAAAAATTTCATTGTGAACTTTCCCTCGTTTAATATACGAGGTATCACAGTTGTTTTTTTTTTTTTTGGAGGAAGGGGGGGAGGTATTGGTTATGTTGAAGGTTGATAAAACTGAACTGAACAATCTCGTAAAAAAGGTTGAACTATCTGGAAATCATAGACGGTCAGTAGCGTGTTTCCAGAGAACCGGTGAAGCCTATTGCTGGAAAATCCAGTCAATTACCGCATCACAATATCCACTTGCCATCAACTTCTGCATTTTTTCGATAATGAAAAAACTAAATAATGTATTGAAATAAATTACAAAAATTAAACGAGCGGAAATAATAGATTGACTGAGGGAGGAATATAAATTGACTTCAGGAAGGGGGGAGGGGGGCGTTCATGGACGACCCAGCTGAAGCTGAAATAAATATCTGGACGGCACTGAAAAAAACTGAAAAGTCGAGGTATCTGCACAGCATGTCGAGGGTTCGATCCCTGTCACGGAGACCAGTGTGAGGCAAGTTTCCTTACACCCCTGCTACCCCCTGCCCACCCCTGCTGTCCATGCTCACCCCTACTACCCATGCCCACCCCTGCTGCCCATGCCCACCCCTGCTGCCCATGCCCACCCCTGCTGTCCATGCTCACCCCTGCTGCCCATGGCCCACCCTGCTGTCATGCTCACCCTGCATCCCAAGCCCACCCCTGCTGCCCATGGACACCCCTGCTGGCCCATGCCCACCTGACAGTGGTCAGAATGGTACCATGACTATAACGCAATAGACAAAATTGCAAGAACATGGGACGTGCGCTTGAACCCTAACAATGAGTCCTAGACTCACAGGCAATGCATTACCACTGACCGTAGTGTTATGCTCACTATAGATTAACCATTGTTCCCGATTTTTGTACCTGTGTGCTAGGCTACTGTTGTGGGTCTCGTACAGGAGGAACAAAACTCGGAGGATGATGTAGCAGGGTCAAGTCTATCATCTATACGAGGGATGTTAAGAATGCAAATAACCTGTAAACCACCAATCAGTGATAACTGAATTCCTAAAAAGATTAGTTAGTTAGTTAAAGATTAGCCGGTATTCTCCCGGCCCGGGCCTTGTCCAAGTGGTGGCCCGGCCTTGGCTCCCTCTTTAGGGAGTGTCTGAGACCTAAGTCTCCCATGGGAGGAGGCATAAGTACCTCCTCATCTTTGGGACCAACTGTCCCCAGGCCTAGCCACAAGCTAGGCCTCTCTGGTCTGCCATCCCCGCCCCAAGGGGGCAAATGGGAATGACAGTCTTATGAGCTAAGATGATCAGTGTAAACTCACAGTATAGAGATAGTAAGAGCTGAAATTAAGACACATGTGCAACATCTGGGTGTCTTTATTGTAGACGTTTCGCCATCCAGTGGCTTTATCAATACAAATTCCAGGATATAACTTGAAGACAGTAGGATTATATAAATAAGATGAGGTAATCAGCCCCTCAGTCTTGGAGTAGGTGCAAAGAGCACTACGACTACGGTGCTTTTTGCACCTACTCCAAGGTTGAGGGACTGATTACCTCATCTTCTGTATATAATCCTACTGTCTTCAAGTTATGTCCTGGAATTTGCATTGATAAAGCCACTGGATGGCGAAACGTCTAAAATAAAGACACCCAGATGTTGCACATGTGTCTTAATTTCATCTTGTCGGTATTAAATACCATTCTTGCACAACATAGTAAGAGCTGCAAACGTGTCAGTGTAGACACAACAATATCGAAGATCCACAAGGGTGTCAAACACCGTACTTACCCGAGCACAGCCTGGACGCAAACACACTCTCCCTTTTGCCCACACTAATGCACTCTACCGTCTGCCTGAACAAATATACTCTCCCGTCTGCTGGACTATCATTCCTGTCTGCTTGAACAAATACTCTTCTGTCAACTTAAACAAACACGCTCTCCAGTTTGCCTACACAAACACTACTGTCTGCCTGAACGAACACATTCTCCCGTCATTCTGGACAAACTCACTCTACTGTCTGCCTGAGCAAACACACTCTCCCGTCTGCCTGAACAAACACACTCTCCCGTCTGCCTGAACAAACACACTCTCCCGTCTGCCTGAACAAACACACTCTCCCGTCTGCCTGAACAAACACACTCTCCCGTCTGCCTGAACAAACACACTCTCCCGTCTGCCTGAACAAACACACTCTCCCGTCTGCCTGAACACACTTTTCCAGAAACACTGTTTGAAAGCCTCCTGGTTCAAACACTGAACCTACCTTCAGGTTCAATATGCTGAACTACTGAGAAACACTGAACCTATCAACTTATCCCTTACTCTTGGATATCAACAAACACTGAACCTTCCTGATGACAAATCCTTCAAACTTATCCAAACACCGGACCATCAACACACAGGATGCACACAGCGAGCGGTGTATATCTCTCAGTGTGTATCTCTCAGTGTATACACATTAAAAGTTTACTACAGTCCTCTTTTTCATAGGGATTAATGCATTCTTGACTGGCGGTGAGCAGTTGACATGTAGTTTTAATGACCCTCGTGTAGTGTTAGTCTTTAAAACTAATTAATCCACCCAGAAGTAACCCAAACACCGGTCTTACCGGGCCAACCCAAACGATGAACAAACTTTAAGCAACCAAACGCTGGATGATCCCAAACACTGGACCAGGCCACACACTGGACCAACCTTGAAGCGGGAGCTGACGGTGAAGTTGACAGCGGTGGTGAGAGATCTGTTACCCTGAGGACCATAGAGGAAGAGGAGTGAGGCTGGTGGTAGTGCCTCCTGCTGCTCCTGCACTACCCACGCTGACAGCAGGAAGGCGTCTGGCCCGTCCAGCAGGTAGTCCAGTCGCATACACATGTCCACTCCTGACGAAGAGGCCTCTCTACCTGACGCAGTGGCGTTGTTACCTGCGTCAGGTTGAGTGGAAACGTTTAGAATGAGAATAAACCCAAAGCTAATGAGTATGAGGAGAGGCTAAAATGATATAATAGAACAGAGTGATCAAGGGTGATATGATTACGACATACAAAACACTGAAAGGATTTGATGGGGTGGATAGAGCAGCTGGAAGTTTAAAATAGATCTTCAGATAGTTTTAAGAGCAGGTATGCAAGGGCTCACGTAGCCAGCCAGGAGAGGGGAAATTCAGTAGTGGCCAGCAGAGAGCAGGGACCAAGAGCCGAGACTCGACCCCCATAACCACAAATAGATGAGCAGACACAGAGGCTTTACCATATATTTGAGATGAGTTGTAATATGTATGTAGATATTGTATTAGTGTGGCTAGGGCCTCCCATTGATGGCTCACAGCATCATGCTTCTGCCATTCTCCACCACCACTACCATCATTACCATCACCACCATCACTACCATCACCACCATCACTGCCACTATCACTGCCATTACCACTGCTACCACCACCACCATCACTACCATCACCATCGCTACCACTGCCACCATCACTGCCACCATCACTGCCACCATCACTGCCACCACCATCACCACCACCACTGCTACCACCACTATTACCACCACCACCATTACCATCACCATCACTACTATCACCACCATCAATGCCACCACCACTGCTACCACCACCACTACCACCATCACTACCATCACCATCACTGCTACCACCATCACCACCGCCACCACTGCTACCACCACAACCACTACCATCACTATCATTATCGCCACCACCATCACCCCTACCATCACTGCCACAACCACTGCTACCACCACCACCATCACCACCAACATCACTACCACCACCACAACCACTGCTACCACCATCACCACCACCATCACTACCACCATCACAACCGCTGCTACAACCACCACCATCACCACCACCATCACTACCACCACCACTACCACTGCTGTCACCACCACCATCAATGCTAAAACCACCACAACCTCTGCTACCACCACCATCACTACCACTACCACCACGACCACCTGGCAGAGCTAATGGTTCATCTCAATATAGACGAAGATGGAGAGGTGAAGGAATGGGTGGAGGGAAAGGTGGAGGAGAGGTGAAGGAATGAGCGGAGGGAGAGATGAAAGAACGGGTGGAAGGAGAGGTGAAGGAATGGGTGGAGAGAGAGGTAAAGTAACGGGTGGAGGGAAAGGTGAAGTGAAGTTAAGGCTTCACGAAGGTATAATGGGTGTAGGTGAAGGGAGCTGTAAGTGATTCTTTATATTAAGGGTGAAGGAGAGATGAAGGGAGGGAGAATAAAAAAAAAAGAGAGGGAAGGAGGGAGGGAGGTAGAGTACACACGTCGTTTTGGTCCGTCTCATGGTGAGCGACAACACATGACGCTCTAGCCCACAGGACTACGCAATCCTACAGAATCCTGTAGGATTGAGAAAACGAAGTGATGGATGGATGGTGGAATTTCATATAGACAAATACCTTGTAATGGAAAAGGGAGAAATCGAAATCCTGTCACATGAAGAACATAGACTGTGTATCTAATGGTTATATTCAAAACTTTTTTTTTTTAAAAGGGTGGAGGGGTAAGCCAGTGGAAGGCCTCGGTCAGATGACCAAAAGCTCCAGCTGCTGGTCATCGTATAGCTAAGACCCGCGTCATGAAACACCTGTCGTGTTTCCTGACAAACCTTACCTAGCCTAATTATGTGATAACATAGCGAAAGTACCAGAGGAACTTGGAGGATCATGTAAACACAATGTGAGAGTCTGTGTGATACATTGGTGAATTATAAAATTGATTTCTTATATATGAAAAGAGAAATGTTTAAAACCTAATTGCAACGTGTACTAGACCAAAATTTGCAGAGTTTGTTATGTACTTCTCTGAAAGAAAATACTTGAGTAGTTAAACGGTCCAAAGAACTACAAAATGGCTACTAAAGCTAAAAGGAATGAGTCGTGAGGAGAGGCTGCAAACACTAAAGTTACGCCACTGGCTGATAGGAGGAAAAGAAGAGACATGATAACCATATTTATGGTCGTAAAAGGACAGAAAAGAATAGATATTCACTTTATAATACCTGTAGCAGAGATAACAAGAAGCCAGAGTTGTAAATTAAGGTAAAAGTGGATCCGAAGAGATCATTTTTTTCCTTGGAACAGAGAGATTGAGCAATGGAATTTATAAGGGAGGTAGGAAGGACTTTTTAAAATCGGAAATCTCATTTCTTTACGATGGACAAATTATTGAAGACTGGGCAAAATGAAAATAATCCTTCACTCGTTGCTACAAACAAGTAAAAGAGGAGGGGCCAGGAGCTATGAATCGACCCCTACAACTACAAATAAGTGAGAACACACACACACACACGTACTTAGACTGATAACAACTAACCTCCTGACTAAATGACCTAATGTAGTTCCCTCCTCTCTACTCCCTACAGCTGAGTCAGTGCACCAGCTGAGTTACCTGCTGGTGTGACCCATGGTGAGGTGAGCACAGCTCTGTAGCCCCTGGGTAGCTGCAGACCCACACCTGTCTCCTCCGCCACCACCATCCTGCTCTTCCACGCTGCAACAAACAGAAAATTAGTGTTTTAGTTATAACAGTAAATGAGGAGGATAAATTGACAGAGCAACACACGCAACATAATGTTGAGAGAGATGATAGAGCAACACAAGCAACATAATGTTGCGAGAGATGGTAGAGCAACACACGCAACATAATGTTGAGAGAGATGGCAGTGCAACACACGCAACATAATGTTGAGAGAGATGGCAGTGCAACACACGCAACATAATGTTGCGAGAGATGGTAGAGCAACACACGCAACATAATGTTGCGAGAGATGGTAGAGCAACACACGCAACATAATGTTGGGAGAGATGATAGAGCAACACAAGCAACATAATGTTGCGAGAGATGGTAGAGCAACACACGCAACATAATGTTGCGAGAGATGGTAGAGCAACACACGCAACATAATGTTGCGAGAGATGGTAGAGCAACACACGCAACATAATGTTGCGAGAGATGATAGAGCAACACAAGCAACATAATGTTGCGAGAGATGGTAGAGCAACACACGCAACATAATGTTGAGAGAGATGGCAGTGCAACACACGCAACATAATGTTGCGAGAGATGGTAGAGCAACACACGCAACATAATGTTGCGAGAGATGATAGAGCAACACAAGCAACATAATGTTGCGAGAGATGGTAGAGCAACACACGCAACATAATGTTGCCAGAGATGGTAGAGCAACACACGCAACATAATGTTGCGAGAGATGATAGAGCAACACAAGCAACATAATGTTGCGAGAGATGGTAGAGCAACACACGCAACATAATGTTGCGAGAGATGGTAGAGCAACACACGCAACATAATGTTGCGAGAGATGGTAGAGCAACACACGCAACATAATGTTGCGAGAGATGGTAGAGCAACACACGCAACATAATGTTGCGAGAGATGGTAGAGCAACACACGCAACATAATGTTGAGAGAGATGGTAGAGCAACACACGCAACATAATGTTGCGAGAGATGGAAGAGCAACACACGCAACATAATGTTGCGAGAGATGGTAGAGCAACACACGCAACATAATGTTGAGAGAGATGGTAGAGCAACACACGCAACATAATGTTGCGAGAGATGGTAGAGCAACACACGCAACATAATGTTGCGAGAGATGGTAGAGCAACACACGCAACATAATGTTGAGAGAGAGTGGTAGAGCAACACACGCAACATAATGTTGCGAGAGATGGTAGAGCAAGACACGCAACATAATGTTGCCAGAGATGGTAGAGCAACACACGCAACATAATGTTGCCAGAGATGGTAGAGTAACACACGCAACATAATGTTGCGAGAGATGGTAGAGCAACACACGCAACATAATGTTGCGAGAGATGGTAGAGCAACACACGCAACATAATGTTGCCAGAGATGGTAGAGCAACACACGCAACATAATGTTGCGAGAGATGGTAGAGCAACACACGCAACATAATGTTGCGAGAGATGGTAGAGCAACACACGCAACATAATGTTGCCAGAGATGGTAGAGCAACACACGCAACATAATGTTGCGAGAGATGATAGAGCAACACAAGCAACATAATGTTGCGAGAGATGGTAGAGCAACACACGCAACATAATGTTGCGAGAGATGGTAGAGCAACACACGCAACATAATGTTGCGAGAGATGGTAGAGCAACACACGCAACATAATGTTGCGAGAGATGATAGAGCAACACAAGCAACATAATGTTGCGAGAGATGGTAGAGCAACACACGCAACATAATGTTGCCAGAGATGGTAGAGCAACACACGCAACATAATGTTGCGAGAGATGATAGAGCAACACAAGCAACATAATGTTGCGAGAGATGGTAGAGCAACACACGCAACATAATGTTGCGAGAGATGGTAGAGCAACACACGCAACATAATGTTGCGAGAGATGGTAGAGCAACACACGCAACATAATGTTGCGAGAGATGGTAGAGCAACACACGCAACATAATGTTGCGAGAGATGGTAGAGCAAACACGCAACATAATGTTGAGAGAGATGGTAGAGCAACACACGCAACATAATGTTGCGAGAGATGGAAGAGCAACACACGCAACATAATGTTGCGAGAGATGGTAGAGCAACACACGCAACATAATGTTGAGAGAGATTGTAGAGCAACACACGCAACATAATGTTGCGAGAGATGGTAGAGCAACACACGCAACATAATGTTGCGAGAGATGGTAGAGCAACACACGCAACATAATGTTGAGAGAGATGGTAGAGCAACACACGCAACATAATGTTGCGAGAGATGGTAGAGCAACACACGCAACATAATGTTGCCAGAGATGGTAGAGCAACACACGCAACATAATGTTGCCAGAGATGGTAGAGCAACACACGCAACATAATGTTGCGAGAGATGGTAGAGCAACACACGCAACATAATGTTGCGAGAGATGGTAGAGCAACACACGCAACATAATGTTGCCAGAGATGGTAGAGCAACACACGCAACATAATGTTGCCAGAGATGGTAGAGCAACACACGCAACATAATGTTGCCAGAGATGGTAGAGCAACACACGCAACATAATGTTGCGAGAGATGGTAGAGCAACACACGCAACATAATGTTGCGAGAGATGGTAGAGCAACACACGCAACATAATGTTGCGAGAGATGGTAGAGCAACACACGCAACATAATGTTGCGAGAGATGGTAGAGCAACACACGCAACATAATGTTGCCAGAGATGGTAGAGCAACACACGCAACATAATGTTGCGAGAGATGGTAGAGCAACACACGCAACATAATGTTGCGAGAGATGGTAGAGCAACACACGCAACATAATGTTGCCAGAGATGGTAGAGCAACACACGCAACATAATGTTGCCAGAGATGGTAGAGCAACACACGCAACATAATGTTGCCAGAGATGGTAGAGCAACACACGCAACATAATGTTGCGAGAGATGGTAGAGCAACACACGCAACATAATGTTGCGAGAGATGGTAGAGCAACACACGCAACATAATGTTGCGAGAGATGGTAGAGCAACACACGCAACATAATGTTGCGAGAGATGGTAGAGCAACACACGCAACATAATGTTGAGAGAGATGGTAGAGCAACACACGCAACATAATGTTGCGAGAGATGGTAGAGCAACACACGCAACATAATGTTGCGAGAGATGGTAGAGCAACACACGCAACATAATGTTGAGAGAGATGGTAGAGCAACACACGCAACATAATGTTGCGAGAGATGGTAGAGCAACACACGCAACATAATGTTGAGAGAGATGGTAGAGCAACACACGCCAACCAGATGTCCTGCAATAACTTTCCTTCCATTTTGCGAGCATTTTTTAAGCAATTTAATATTGTTGAAATTGCACACACACACACACACACACACACACACACACACACACACACACACACACACACACACACACACACACACACACACACAGTGTGCAGGTTCGAATCCTTCTGTAAACTGAGAAATAATTTTTTTAAGAAATACGATAAAGTTCATGGAGCAGGAAGTGAGTGGTTCTAGTAGCGACCAGGGAAGAGGCGGGGCCAGGAGCTGTGACTCGACCCCTGCAAACACAAATAAACGATTTATTACAGGCATTTACTAACAGAGTCAATACAGAAATATCGTCAAAGTATTAAACATTTCTAGTAATATTGGGCGAAACATCGTCATTTGTGGACTATAGTTTCCTTTTAAAGAAAACGTTTTGCTCACACTGGAGTTTTAACAAGACATGGCTGGTTACTGGGGGTTTAAAACCTATCGACTGCACTATGATCATTAACTCTTCTCACCACCAGACAAAAATATTTGTTGAGAAATATATACACTGAGAAATATATATACTGAAAAATATATACACTGAGAAATATATATACTGAGAAATATATATACTGAGAAATATATACACTGAGAAATATATACACTGAGAAATATATACACTGAGAAATATATATACTGAGAAATATATACACTGAGAAATATATACACTGAGAAATATATACACTGAGAAATATACATGCTGAGAAATATATACACTGAGAAATATATACACTGAGAAAAATATACACTGAGAAATATATACACTGAGAAATACATACACTGAGAAATACATACACTGAGAAATATGTACACTGAGAAATATATACACTGAAAAATATATATACTGAGAAATATATACACTGAGAAATACATACACTGAGAAATATGTACACTGAGAAATATATACACTGAAAAATATATATACTGGGAAATATATACACTGAAAAATATATATACTGAGAAATATATACGCTGAGAAATATACACATCAGAGTGCATATATGCTGCAATATTTGGGAATCATTATTACAGAAAAGTTTCGCTCGCCGGTGGCTGACGAAACGTTCCTGTACTATTCTAAAATGTTGCATCAGTGATGGAGGTGGAGATGAAAACGGAGTGGAGGCGGTGGAGGAAGAGGCTGTCATGTTTGCAGACTGGAGGTGGAAGTGGAGGTGCAGGTGGTGTCCTGTGGTGGGAGGTCGGTGGTGGAGTGACGGGAGTAGCAAAGGGGGGGGGGGGAATGTGGCCTCGTTTGGCCTAATTATCGAGGCGCAAATTAGTCAGGACGCTGACGGAACTTCAAGGTCAGATAAAAAAAATATTGGCCCGTCCAGCCTCATTAAGGTGCGGCGGGGGACCGGGAATTGAAGGTAAGTCTTGGTAAATCGTTTCGACGACAGTATTGACTAATGATGTTTGTTTTAACGTGATGTTTTTGTGCCTTTTGCCGAAGAAACGTTTTTTCCTCGGCAGAAGACTTCTTTTTTTCAAGTGAATGAAGAGGCGTATTTTATACTGGAGACAGTGGAATAAGTTGTGAGGAAATTTTAAGGCATTAATTCTCTTAGTCAAGAAGAATTTATTTAAAGGTGTTTAGATCCTTAGTCTTGAAGAGTTGATTAAAAGGTGTGAAGATCCTTAAGCTTGATCTGTCTAAA